CACATCAGTAAATGTGAAACTAAATTATGATACTATAAAGGCTAATCAAATGTTAAGTGCTCCTACTGTCCACCAGCATCAATGTGAGCTGAGGAAGCTTTGACCAACACCTGCAAGGTCTAGCTCTGTATGAGGAGGGGAGGAAAGCTTTCTGTTTGACTGTTCGAGTGAAGGAGATTATTTTACAGAGAATAAGGTAAAATCATCTATAAATGGTTGGGAAAATTTAAGACAATCTCTTCTTTTTAAAAAAATCACAAAAAGATCTGAAGTATTTAGAATTCACTTTCAAAATCATTACTGTAAAACAACCTTCTTCATCTCTAGTATACTATACACACTATGTCCATAATTCAGCATGTTCTTACTAATTACCCAGCTATGAAGCCACCAGCTCCAATTCTCAAGATGCCTTGGGCTCTGCAACATGAGAGCTGAAGATGCAGAGATGCAGACGTGCCATCTGTGAAGCCTGTCAGCCAGAGAGTCTCCCATTGCCCTCATAGTGGTACACCACTTGGCAGTGAAAAGGGCAGGCAGCTCTCCTCATCCTGTCACAGACTAAGGATATTAACATCTCTAAAAAGTGAATTAATTGTGAGACTCGGCGTTTGCTACCTAGATTTTGCACTTTGTAGCCACTTTGAGGTTCTCTGTGTGCCGACCCCTCTTTAACCACCCCACTATTATTCTGTAGTGTCCAGTATTAACTGGTTTGGGGAGTCCTTCCTGAATTACTTGCCACTGCCTATTAGAATGCACACACTTGTTTGGCAAAAAGCAATTCTTATCTCTAGGGAGTACAAAGGGAGATCCCTCTCATATCTGCTGTGGAATCTCAGGCTATGAGGATTTTTATACTTGAAATATTCAACACATGAACTTAAGCCTATCCTTTGCTGTCACAGTAGTTCTGTGTTTTTTTAAAGACAACACACACAATTTACTGCATTCACTACATCTGTCAGACTAAAAAATGGGTAGTGTGATGCATTTGCATTCAAAACTTCAGTGTCAACAAGGATCTCAAACAGAAGGCTGGAGATAATCCACAATTGTCTCAAAACAAGGCATATAAAACAAACATGCAAAAGGGATATAAAACAAATACATGGAAATAATCCTTTTTTCAACTGCTTCTCTTCCTTTCCTCCACAGAAAGATTGATTTTTCAGTCTGTTTCCTTTACTAGAACATAAAATACAATTTCTGACCTTCTAACACAAAAAAAAAAAATGTTGTTGACAGGAACGTGGCAGAAGTACAGTGCCTTAAGAACATGAAAGTAACTCTTTAACAAGAGAGACCCTGATTCTCCAAACTCTAACATATTTCATATTGGACACACCAAGTTCAAGACCTGCATCTAACGGGGGGTAACAGATTTGCCAGAGATGAGTGACAAAACATCCTGAAGGATTCGCTCTCAGATTCTCTCAAGCTACAGTACCCTGTGATTTGCCACGACACACCCCGTAGCTGGCTCTTGCTAGAGGTGTGCTCCTTTCCTTAGACAGCCAAACTGTTCCCAACAGTGAGCTATCGAGCTATCACCAACTCAGGAGGTTCTTCCCTTAACCTCAGTATGAGCCATCCAAAATGCCATTGATCCTTAATACACTGCAAAGACTACAAGTGATCGAAACTCATCTCCCACATCAATTCCTAACTTCAGCTCCAAATAAAACACTCTTCTAAACTGCAATTTTGTGTCTGCTTTGAAGGCAGAACAAGGAACAATGAAAAGAGCCTCATTTTGTTCTCTGGTTTAGGCACAACGTGCAAACTTCATTTTAGAAGAACTATAGAATTAAATGTATTATTTAACTTCTGGGACAGTTAAACATTGGACCAATTTTTAAGAGTTAATCCATCTGAAAGAGTTCTCCAAAGCATCTAAACAGTATCAATACTACCCTGTATTTTAAATGCTTTATTTATAGCATCACAAATAGCTCCTCGCAGACATTCCCTTCAGAATTAAGTTCTGTTTAACTCAAACCAGGACACAACTATGTTTTTAAAAGCCTTCACCACTTAAAATGTTTCTGTGAAATCCTGTTTGAGCCACCATCTTTATTTTCTACACTCCAGAAGATTTAATCACCATAGGTTTGTCTATCTGCATAAAATGTATTCCTTTACAGTTGGACACAGGCTTTCAGCCTCCTCACTTAAATGCAGTTTAATGTCAATGAAGAGCCACCCCACAAATGAACATGAAGGTGCTGATGGGATTACATTTAGAAAAAGTATCTTTAATTTAGACAAGCAGATTAGGAAGCAACAATGAAGGAAGAATTCCCTTTTCTGTATCTGACAGCTAAATGAATGTTTTCTAAAACTTGGTATTACATAAAATGCTCCTTTCTGAGCTTGCAGAAAAGATACACATTCACCTACACTTATTTCACTTCATTTTTTCCTACTTGGACAATCAGCCTAAAATTTGATAAAGAAATTAATTCCCAGAGTAAGATCTCTGCAATCCACTAGCACGGTAAGCAATGACAAAGTGCCATTGTGGCAGACTAGCTGATTGTTAGGGACCAGAAAATAAATGAGTTAAGACTTCCCTCCTTCCCTTCCCCTTTTAGGCAAGGAACACAGGTGGTTTTTTGAACATTCCTGGGACAACACACACATCTCAGCACACAAGGGCCAAGACCACATATGTATTAATCCTCTAATGGGGCTCCCCATAAGAATTGTATGCTGCAGAACACGACACATCCATGGTCCCCTAAGGGCACACAGTACGGTAAGTCATGCCCCTGATGAGTGCAACTAGCTGCCAGGAGACTTGGGAACCTATCCCACTTTCGTCTAATTTTGGAAGACAGATCCTAATGAATTATGGACTAACCCACTCATGTGGATTTCTTAGTAAAACACATCCAAAGACTGAGCAATCCATAGAGACAGCTCCCTTCACATCCAGTTTCCCAAACATGATTCG